CCAAAAAAAAAACAGCATTTTTGCTTGCACATGATTGGCTGATGGAAGTCAGCAGAGCTTCTTCTCATTTACTAAACTCTGGAGCAACTGCACTTGCAAAGTACACAGTCTAAAGGCAAATAGACTGTGCATTTTGCAAGTGCAGTTGCTCCAGAGCTTTGTAAATTTGGAGGTGGAGTGAAACTTAGCTTTCCAGCACTCATAGGGGCTGATTTACTAAAGACAAATAGACTGTACACTTTACAAAGTGCAATTGCTCCAGAGCTTAGTAAATGAGGGAACGCTTAGCTTTGCAAAGAATACCCAATCATACGAAAGGAAAATGTAAGAAAAACAGTATTTTTGCTTGCACATGATTGGATGATGAAAGTCCGCAGAGCTTTTGCTTTTATTAAGCTCTGGAGCAATTGTACTTGCAAAGTACATAGGCTAATTGCCTTTAGTAAATTAACCTGTATGTGTCAGCAGAAAATCAACTGAAACCAACCCCCCCCCCCCCCCACACACAAAAAAGAAAACAAAAAAACCCCATAAGTTCTGTTTTGCAAGCCAAAATTCTCTACTTTCCTCTACCCCCCTCAAATTTATCCCCTGAGCATAAATCCTCTCCCTCCTCCAAATTCCCCCTCCTAGCACTAATTCTCTCCTCAAACCCCCCCCCCCCCCCCCAATCTATCTACTAGCTCAACTCTACCTCCCCAAACCCCCTTTCCTAACAGAAATTCACCCTCCTAGTACAAATCCCCCCTCCAAATCACCCCTTTCAGCACAAACCCCCCCAAATCCCCACTGCGCCCAGGGCAGCTGCCCCTCCTGCCCACCTCTTGTCCCGGCCCTGGATATAGTACAAGAAGTATTTCTAGCTGAACCTGCTCTGGAATCGGCGACAGATTCAGGTATGGATCTGACAGCAGCACTGGGAGAGGGAAGGGCAGCATTAGCAGCTTTAACAGGCCTGCATGTGTTAACAGGGAACATGCTGACAGGAGGAGACAGCAGATCAATTCTTTATCAGTGTGTTGCTGCTCCTTTATTGTCCAATCAACAGGCTGCGGATAGGAAGGTGACAGCACTGGATTAATGTACACCCCCCCAAAATGCAAAAATGCATGGAACATGCCACTTCCCATGCGCATGCATAAACATTTTTAGCATTACCTTTTTTCTGGTACTTCCTGGGACACAGGTGATGTAGCCCTGGCTTCACAGGATAGCCAATCAACGGTGCCTTCCAGGGAGATCTCGCGCGTATGCAATACATGATCAGGGCGACTTGTTGTTTTCAAAAACAAATCAGCCTGGATCATGTATATGCAGAATTTCATGTTTGTGCCTTGCTCTAATTTGCTGCCTATGATGAAATAGCAGACATGATAATGCATGTGGTCACAATAGCACCAGTTGCACAGCTCCCGAAGTACACAGGACGATGACTTTTGGCACGCTGACTTACGAAGGTCAGTGCTCCCTCTGACTGTGCTTGCAGCCTTGTGCTGCCATCTGTTGGCGTGTTACAAAACTAGTCTCAAAACTTTTTGATACCACCTCATTTGTAAGTTTGTTTCTGTTTCAGTTTATTAACCTCCCTATCGGTATTCCCGAGTGTAGTTCGGGGTAAAGTTTCAGTACCAAAAGTGGTAACCCCGAGCTACACTCGGGCTTACCATGCGGCGGTATTCAGGGATTCCCTACAGCACACACCTTGTCCTTCGCTCCTGCGATGTGTCCCCTGCAGCGTCCCCGGCCATCTCCTCCGGCTGATGCCGGCATCCAGCTTACGTGTTCCGGTCCATGTGACGTTGGGACGTACGGGCGCCGCCGGCGGAGGGAAATTTGAAAATTTAAAAAAATGGCATTTTTTTCAAATGAATTTTACATAGTAAAACATTGCTGTTTCAAACCATTTCACATACATTTTGTCCCGAGTGCTTTGTCCGGCGCCCTGCCTGCATTTTTACTGTTCTTTCTGCCTGGAAACTGAGAAACGTCCATGGCGTCCAAAAAGCGTCCCTTTAGGTCAAAAGCGGTTTTAGACCGGCTAGAGAACAGTGATAGTAAATCAGAACCACTTGCAGAATTGAGTGATAATGATTCGTGGGGGAAATTCCTCATCAGACACTGAAAACGATTCTGCGACTTTGCTCAGCGATGTGTGAACTTGGCGCTATATTTCACATTTCAGTGTTTTTGGTTTGATTATATTATTGAATTAAATGTATTATATTATTATTTTTTATGATTATTTATTAAATTATAACTGATGATTTCGTGTTTCAAATTTTATCCTCCCCGGGATGTTTACTAGACTCTTGTTCGGACAGATTTCAGTGAGTTATTCCTAAAAATTACAGGCCTACAATAAAAAAACTACATATTTCCATGCAAAAAAATGGTACCGCTTTCAGCACCAAAAATCTGAAATAATCATACCGCTAGGGAGGTTAATGTGTGTGTGTGTGTGGGGGGGGGGGGGCTGCTTTAAATATCCAAAATGGTGGCCAATACATGCTTTTTGATCTCTTTTCCAATCGATCTCTCCTGAATAATCGATCTATAGTCAACAATGCAATCAGCTGATAAGCCACACACAGGGAGGGGGAATTCGATCAACATTTGGAAGATACAATTATAAGTTATTGATCTATGTTTTCACCAGGCAGCCTCATAATCCGTTCGATCAAAATACCATCGAATTTATGATGGATTGGGCAAAAGTCCTGGGCGACGAGCTCTGTTTGATTGAATCCGATCTAATCTGAGCCAAAATCAATGGGAAGAAAAGTTAGTTTCTGATTTGACCGTTTTGATTAAATGGCACATTGATCGGGTAATGAAATAATTTATGGTCACCATTACGGACAGTGGTGTCACCGATCCTGCTGTGGTTGAAAAAAAACAAGAATACATATGACTTGTATGTAGACACCCTTTGCTTATCTTGGAAGTTTTTTTAATTTTTAAATGTATATTTAATATATAAAATCAATAACTAATATTTATATGTATGTATATGTATGTATATATATATATATATATATATATATATGCCTTTTTTCTCAGAAAATAGGTGCAGGAAATGCCCCCTTCTGTGCCACTTCTTGTCTCCATCCCCTACCCACCCCTTTGCACCGTCCCTTGGTTCAACCCCCTACCCTCCTCCCAGTACCACCCCTTTTAGAGATTACAGAGCCAAGTATCATTTTGTGGTGCTAAGTAATTTGTATGGAATGATAACAAGAAAAGCAGTAAAATAGATCCCCTGCAGCCAGCAACAATAGATTCCACCCCCAGCAACAATAGACTCCACCCCCAGCAGAAATAGACTCCACCCCCAGCAGCAATAGATCCCCCCAGCAACAATAGACCCCCACCAGCAACAATAGATTCCACCCCCAGCAACAATAGACTCCACCCCCAGCAGCAATAGACACCCACCAGCAACAATAGATTCCACCCCCAGCAACAATGGACCCCGGCAGCAACAACAGATTTCCCAGCAGACAGCAACAATAGACCCCCCACTCAACATTAGATCCCTTCCAGCAACAAATGACCCCCCCCCCCGCCCGCAACAATAGATTCCACACCAGAAACAATAGATTTCTCCAGCAACAATAGACAGCCCTCAAAATAGATGCCTTCCAGCAACAATAGACCAACAACGGCCAGCAACAGTACTATATACAGGATTTATTACAGTAGTAGATCACAACTTCAACCGTAGATCCCTTCCAGCGACATTTGACCCCCCCAGCAAAATAACCCCCCCCCTCCCAGCAACAATAGACCTCCATTAAAAATATATGCCTTGCAGCAACAATAGACCAACAGCAACCAGTAACAGTATTATTATACAGGATTTATTATAGTAGTAGACCACCCCTTCAACCGTAGATCCCTTCCAGCAACATTTGACCCCTCCCAGCAAAATAACCCTTGCCCCTCCCAGCAACAATAGACCTCCATGCAAAAATAGATCCCCTCCAGCAACAATAGACCACCTGGCATTAATAGACCCTCCAGCACACCCCATGACTGCTTGCCATTACATACATTCAGTGCTGGAGGTGCTTTCCCACTGAAAAAATGCCCTGTGTGTGTATATACTTATATATACTGTGTGTGTGTGTGTGTGTGTGTATATATATATATATCTCACATATGGCAATATTTATTATTTATTTCAGGTACTTATATAGCGCCGTCATTTACGCAGCACTTTACATATATATTGTACATTCACATCAGTCCCTAACCCTCAAGGGGCGTACAATCTAAGGTCCCTAACTTACATTCATACATACACATACTAGGGACAATTTAGACAGGAGCCAATTCACCTACCAGCATGTCTTTGGAGTAAGGAAGGAAACCCACGCAGGCACAGGGAGAACATGCAAACTCCAGGCAGGTGGTGCCGTGGTTGGGATTTGAACCAACAACCCTAGTACTGCCAGGCGGAAGTGCTAACTAACCATTTAGCCACTGTGCTGCCCGACATACTAGATCTCCTCCTGCTGGAAAAGATGAAGGTCCTCCCATTCCAGATGCAGCTGTTTTGGGTTCTCTACAGAAAATACCAGCATGTCTTTGGAGTGTGGGAGGAAACCGGGGTACCTAAAGGAAACCCACGCAGGCACAGGGAGAACATTCAGGCTCCAGGCAGGTGGTGCCGTGGTTGGGATTTTGAACCAACGACCCGAGTACTGCCAGGCGGAGGTGCTAACCATTTAGCCACTGTGCTGCCCACGATATTACACTCAAAGTCCCGAAGAGGTTCTCTATCAGCCAGAGTTCAGATGTAAAATATTTCTGAAGCTCCTCCACAGCCGCTCTTTATATCTGATGATTAGGACGATCTGTGAACAGATTCTGGTATATATGGGAAGATGCAGGTAGACTATATCATTGCCTTTTCTCTCTCCATAGAGGCTGGTGTGTTGGCCAAGAAGTACGTCCAGCAGGGTCTTCCCGTCCCCGATGACCTCATCACCCGTGTCATGCTGTCGGAGCTGGAGAAAAGGACAACGCACAGCTGGCTGCTGGATGGTAATCACACATTATATTTCCTTCTCCTCTATGGAATCTGTCTATTCCTCATTCACATACAGAGCGCAGTCCCACGCTGTATGGATCCCGCATTCTTCTGTCTATTCTTCGTTTTGGGGTCCTTATGGATTAATTTGTTCTTTTGAAGAACTGGCGGTTTCTCCACAGCCAGTCACATTTCAGATCCAGACCAGGCCTGATGCTGATTGGTGGCTGAGCATATCATTCCGATTCTTACAAAGAACACATTGATTTATCAGGACTAAATTCCTTTTATGTAAAGTAGATCTAGCATGAGATGCATTCTAAGTAATATGTTATTGTAGCTCTTCCAGGTGTTTATTACTTCTTGCAGAGATCACAGTCCTCCCCCTGACAATGCTTTATATCTGCCCTTCTTACCAGAAGAAAGGCACCATCTTTATTCAGGCGTCATCAAGAGTCACCAGAAGCTATGCCGCACAATGTAGGAATGACATTTTTAAATATTTGCAAACGTTGCCAAGTGATCAGCAGTGACACCTTCTGTGGCAAAATGTAGAATAGAGTCAGGATCCCTGGACAGTGTATTGCGCTTGGACATTGCATATTCTACATGACTGCAACAAGGGGAAATATAGCTCTACATTGTAATTAAATTCAATTTACGCAGCGCTTTACATTTATATATATTGTACATTCCCATCAGTCCCTAACCCTCAAGGGGCGTACAATCTAAGGTCCCTAACTCACATTCATTCATACATACACATACTAGGGACAATTTAGACAGGAACCATTTTACCTATCAGCATGTCTTTGGAGTGTGGGAGGAAACCAGAGTACCCGGAGGAAACCCACAGAGGCACAGGGAGAACATGCAAACTCCAAACAGGTGGTGCCATGGTTGGGTTTTGAACCAACGACCCGAGTACTGCCAGGTGGAAGTGCTAACCACTGAGCCACTGTGCTGCCTATATACATAATATATATAATGCCTATACTTTGTAATAGGTACGTAGATTCCTACAGAATAAGCAGATGGTCACTGATTTTCTAATTGGAGAACTGCAACATGTACAGGTCCTCTTTTCTTGGAGCCAGATTCCCTTGAATGTCTGTGATCCTCTGGCAGTAGTGTGACAGATGTAAGCTGCGGCAATGCATGTACAAAAGGATTTACAGAAATGTGACAGTTTGTAGGTCAGGAGCCGAGGATTAATATACATATATAGGAGTCTTGGCATTTAGAGGCACCGTACACGTTCCCAATATTCAGAAATGGGGGATTCAGCTCATATAGGCAGATTTCAAGGACCTGCATTTTTTTTTACTTTTTCTTTCCCTTTTCTTTTTCTTTTCTTTCCCTTTTCTTTCTCTTTTCTTTTCTTTCTCTTTACTTTCCCTTTTCTTTTTCTTTTCTTTTTCTTTTCTTTTGCTTTTCTTTTTCTTTTTTTTCTTTTTCTTTTCTTTTTCTTTTCTTTTTCTCTTTCTCTTTTCTTTCTTTCCCTTTTTCTTTTCCTTTTCTTTTCTTTCCCTTTTTCTTTTCCTTTTCTTTTCTTTCCCTTTTCTTTTCTTTCCCTTTTTATCCCCCCCATTGCTCCCCCTTTTCTTTCTCTCTTCCTCCCAGATTTCTCTCTACCCTCCATTTTTTTCTCTCTCTCTTTCCCTCTCCCCCTACTTTTCCCTCTCCTCCCCCTTCTCTCTCATTTTCTTCATCCCTCCCCCCCCTCCCACTCTCTCCTCTCTCCCTCCCTCTTTTCTCTCTCCTCCCCTTTTGTCTGTCTCTCCCCCCATTTCTTTTCTCTCTCCCCCCCCCCCGTTATCTCTCTTCCTCCACCATTTTTCTCTCACTTTTCTCCTCCCTTTCTCTTTTGACCCCACTTTTCTCTCTCGCTCCTCCTCTTTTCCCACTCATCTTCCCTCCCACTTTCTTTTTCTCTTCCCCCTCTCTTTTCTTTCTTTCTTCTCTCCATTTCTGTATCTCTTTCCTTCTTCACTTATCTATTCTCACCCCCCCCATTTCTCTCTCTCTCTTTTCCCTCTATTCTCCCTCCCCCATTTATTTTCTCTTTCCGTTCTCCTTTTCCCTCATCCTTTTTTCTCTCCCACCTCCCCATTCTCTCCCTTCCTCCCCCTTTTTCTCTCTCTTCCCCTCCATTTTTCTCTCCCCACTATTCTCTCTTGCCCCCCACACTCTTTTTTTTTCTCTCTCATCTTCCCCCCTCTCTTTCTCTCTCTTCTTCCCCCCCTCTCTCTTTCTCTATCCTCCCTCTCTTTTCTTTCTCGTTCGCCCCGTTCTCTCTCTTTTTCCATATTCTTGCACCTTCCCCCCCTCCCATTCCCCCCCTTCTTTCTTTTCTCTTTCTCTTTTCCTCTCCCCCGCCTTCACTCGCTCTTGTTTTCCCACCATTTCTTCTCTCTCTCTCTCTCTCTCTCTCTATACCCCCCCCCTTCTCTTCTCAGTCTCCCCTATTTATCCCCCTCCCCTTTTTTTCTCTATTTCCCACCCCCCTCCCTCTTCCACACTATTTTTCTCTCCTTTGTGTGTTTTTCTGTCTTGCTTCCCCTTCCCTTTCTTTTTCTATCTCCCTCTTCTTCCCTTTCTTTTTCTATCTCCCTCTTCTTCCCTTTCTCTTGCTCTCACCCTCTTCTTCCCTTTCTCTTGCTCTCACCCTCTTCTTCCCTTTCTCTTGCTCTCACCCTCTTCCTCCCTCTCCTTTCTCTTGCTCTCTCCCTCTTCCTCCCTTTCTCTTGCTCTCCTTCTCTTCTTCCCTTTCTCTTGCTCTCTCCCTCTTCTTCCCTTTCTCTTGCTCTCTCCCTCTTCTTCCCTTTCTCTTGCTCTCTCAGTCTTGCTCTTCCCCTTTCTCTTGCTCTCTCAGTCTTCTTCCCTTTCTCTTGCTCTCTCAGTCTTCTTTCCTTTCTTTTGCTCTCTCCCTTTTCTTCCCTTTCTCTTGCTCTCGCCATCTTCTTCCCTTTTTCTTGCTCTCTCCCTCTTCTTCCCTTTCTCTTGCTCTCTCCCCCCCCTTTCTATTTTTTGCTTTTTATCTTTTAGTCAGATAAATCAAACTGTTGCACATTTTTACTCTTTTCCCAAGCAAACATTCTCACATCTGCTGTGACATCTCTTCTGTGTCCCTTTCTCTTGCTCTCACCCTCTTCTTCCCTTCTCTTGCTCTCACCCTCTTCCTCCCCTTTCTCTTGCTCTCTCCCTCTTCCTCCCTTTCTCTTGCTCTCCTTCTCTTCTTCCCTTTCTCTTGCTCTCTCCCTCTTCTTCCCTTTCTCTTGCTCTCTCCCTCTTCTTCCCTTTCTCTTGCTCTCTCAGTCTTCTTCCCTTTCTCTTGCTCTCTCAGTCTTCTTCCCTTTCTCTTGCTCTCTCAGTCTTCTTCCCTTTCTCTTGCTCTCTCCCTCTTCTTCCCTTTCTCTTGCTCTCTCCCTCTTCTTCCCTTTCTCTCTCTCTCAGTCTTCTTCCCTTTCTCTTGCTCTCTCAGTCTTCTTCCCTTTCTCTTGCTCTCTCAGTCTTCTTTCCTTTCTTTTGCTCTCTCCCTTTTCTTCCCTTTCTCTTGCTCTCGCCATCTTCTTCCCTTTTTCTTGCTCTCTCCCTCTTCTTCCCTTTCTCTTGCTCTCTCCCCCCCTTTCTATTTTTTTGCTTTTTATCATTTTAGTCAGATAAATACAAACTGTTGCACATTAATTTACATCTTTTTCCCAAGCAAACATTCTCACATCTGCTGTGACACTTTTGTGTAATTATAAAAGTTGTTTTCCAGATTACATTAAAATGATTCCTGGTGATCCTGCCATTAAAGTCCATGTTCAGGCAATTCCTGTTCTCCTGTGTTGTCACCCTGGTACACGGCAGTGCTGACACAAATTGCCACCATTGTCACTATCAGAAGGATAGTGCAGAGCAGTGATGTGCAGACAAAGAAGTGGTTGAAAGAGGCTGCAGGAGATCATCAGCAGAACATTCCATGCGTTCAGACTCCGCGTGTCTGGCAATGGCGCGGCGTGGAACATTCCATGCGTTCAGACTGAGCGTGTCTGACAGTGGCGCGGCGTGGAACATTCCATGCTTTCAGACTGAGCGTGTCTGACAATGGTGCGGTGTGGAATATTCCATGTGTTCAGACTGAGCGTGTCTGACAGTGGCGCGGCGTGGAATATTCCATGCGTTCAGACTGAGCATGTCTGACAATGGCGCGGCGTGGAACATTCCATGCGTTCAGACTGAGCGTGTCTGACAATGGCGCGGCGTGGATTATTCCATGCGTTCAGACTGAGCGTGTTTGACAATGGGGATTTATTCCATGCGTTCAGACTGTGTCTGACAATGGCACGGCGTGGATTATTCCATGCGTTCAGACTCGGCGTGTCTGACAATGGCGCGGTGTGGAATATTCCATGCGTTCAGACTGAGCGTGTCTGACAATGGCGCAGTGTGGGATATTCCATGCGTTCAGACTGAGCGTGTCTGACAATGGCACGGCGTGGATTATTTCCATGCGTTCAGACCATGAGCGTGTCTGACAATGGCGCGGTGTGGGATATTCCATGCGTTCAGACTGAGCGTGTTGACAAAGGCGCGGTGTGGAACATTCCATGCGTTCAGACTCGGCGTGTCTGACAATGGCGCGGTGTGGAATATTCCATGCATACAGACTGAGCGTGTCTGACAATGGCGCGGTGTGGAATATTCCATGCATTCAGAATGAGCGTGTCTGACAATGGCGCGGTGTGGAACATTCCATGCGTTCAGACTCGGCGTGTCTGACAATGGCGCGGCGTGGAATATTCCATGCGTTCAGACTCTACGTGTCTGACAATGGCGCGGTGTGGGATATTCCATGCGTTCAGACTCAGCATGTCTGACAATGGCGCGGTGTGGGATATTCCATGCGTTCAGACTGAGCGTGTCTGACAATGGCGCGGTATGGAATATTCCATGCGTTCAGACTCGGCGTGTCTGCCTGTTACATTACCGGAAAGGGATGAGTCATCTGTCTTTGTAAAAACAGAAC